CTGAATTCCTCACTGTTTTTAATTATGATAAATAGTGTTGTGAAAATATAAATGAGAAAGTTGGTTTCTTTAACATCATATTATTGTATGAGTAACTAATATATACATGATCATATGAAGTATTTCATAAGTACAGTGAAAATGTCTGTATTTTTATTGTGTAGGAACTAGAGCCTCCACCAGATGGACACAGAGCTCCTATTGCCGATCTCTTCAAGTCCACCACCGTGACAACTACACGTAACGTAGACACACAGACGCCTTCTGGAAGAGAAGAAAGTTGTTCTGGTAGTGGTGCAAATAGTTATAGTCAGTCAGTTTCACCGACTGTGCCATTTTTAGGCCAGATGGACAGTTCTCAGCCTGCCAGCCGAGGTAAGTCGCACAGTGTCATCTCTTGGTCAGTAGTTTTGTTATGTAATATATAGTGGGTTCACAAGATTTAAATTTATAAGGATGACAGAAACTTTTAATAGTGATAAACTTATTCTTGAACAATTACATTCACCTGTCAGTAAAAATTATAACTTTATTTAAAAAAAAAAAGCTGGGCTTTAACATATATTACACAAAATGTGCTTACTAGTAACATTTATTTTCGATTAGTCAGTTTAAGATATAACTATAAAAGCAGACTGCTTCATTCATTGGTATTTTGTGAAACTTGCGGTTAAATTTGTAAAAAATTGTATAATCTTCAAGTTTCAAAAATGTAGATGCAACTTTCATGCTTTTAGGGATAAAAATGTATATGCATAATTCCTTTTAAATTCTAAAAGGTTAATACCATTTTTGTGATTTCCCCTTCTCATTTTTTTAATGACCTTGTAAATTACTTCAACAACAAGAATACTTTGTGCTTTGATTTAAATCTCTTTCAAATTTGACTGTAACACATTATTTTATTAGTTAAACATTATTGAAAAAAACAAAAACTTCTTGACACATGAGCCAAGATATATTTCTTAGTGTAAACTACTGATTTCTAAGTTCAATGTTGTTTCAGAAGGAAGTAAAAGTGCCTCACCCGATCTTGACTGGAGCACCAAACTTGGTACAAGTCCTCGCATTAACAAGTTCTTGGCAAGAGAACCTCCTGATGGTTGTGAGAGAGTAAAAATCGTAGACGAACGAAGGTTGGTAATATTCAAATTAATATTTTTTACTCATTACCAGCTTGATTTTTAGTTTCACCCTGAAGTAGGTAGCTTGTTCTGGTTGGGAGTTAATATTCCTATTAGTTGTGAATAAGCAGGCCTGGTTGTTAAGGTGCTTGGCTTGCAATGTGCAGGTTATGAGTTTGAATTGTGTCACCAAATATGCTCACTCTTTCAGCCATGGGGCTGTTATAATACAATGGTAAATTCCACTTTTCATTGGTGGGTGATGTTGACTAGCTACTTTGCCTTTGGTCTATCACTTTTAATTAGGGATGGCTAGTACAGATATTCCTCGTAGATTTGTGTAAAATTCTACAAACAAACGGGCAAACAGGCAGCTCATTGAAAGAGTAACTTATGAAATGTAGTCATCAGATTTATGTCTCTTGCGATGGGCTCAGTCAATTTGACCTAAAAATTGATCTTTAGAGTTTCCATACTATAACTTGTAATATGTTTTGTGTATCTTCACAAAATTTCAAAAGTTTCAGTAATCATTAAGAGTCACTTGTTGACAAAAATCAGAATTTTTATTGAAGTATTTTTACTCAAAATTTCTCCATGAATATATGGAGTCAGTGTTAGCTGCTCTGAGTCCAAAGTGATTTTCATATTTAGATTAAAAATACTTTTCTTCATCTGAAAAATCTCAAGTTTCATTTGCATAATCCCTAAAACTTCCCAAGTAAATTTCAAACTTATTTTTCAGTAAAACTTTATATTTTATCTATTATTTTCTCTAATCCTAACTCTATATAAAACCAATCTGACTGACCTTGTGACCACCAAAAAAAAACCCGAAATAAATCTAAATTACCCTTGTTTTTCTCTCTTGAATAACTTTATATTGTAATATGAAACTACATTTTTTATTGTTTTATTGCCCTTTAAACTGTGTCTAACTAATACTCTTGCCATACAAATTGTAAATCACTTGGTAAACATGTAGCTCATATGACCCTATCGAAATACGTAATTCACAGGCTACTCGCAAGTTGCTTGTGAGTGTATCCTGTGAACATTTTTTATTTTTATTATTATTCTTTATTCTACCTTACCTAACATAAAAAGTTTCTAATTTTTTACATTTTAGTTACTTTTATAATAATAAAAAATGAATGCACATGAAAAGCAAGAGATAAAGTACTTATCTGGGCTATTTTTTTGGTGTCAACTATCAACAAAACTTAACCCTACTTTTTATACTACTTCACTAAATAATTTTCTATTTAATTACATAATGCACCAAAGAACACAGAAGAATATCATGCAAAAGGCAGACAACATCCCATAACTCTCACAGTTTTTCTCATTTTCTAACTATGCGACAAGAGCCATTAAAAATTCAGCTAAGCTCGTCTTTGAGTTTCCCTCATGAATAAAGTTTAAACTGCAAGCAAAATAGGCAAATCTCTGTACAGAAAACAACATAATATAATACATCATTTGATTAAAACCTTGGCTTTCTATTGGTTATAAGTAATATAGTATTAAATGTCAGAGAGAACTATTGGCAATTTCTGAAAGAGAGGATGTGACAAGTGGGCATGTCAAGAGAGGTCTGATTTTCTAGTTTATGGCTCTGTAACCAAATAAGATTGAAGTGTATAAAAATTATGCTTGCCTGAGCAATGACAACATTATTAATGAGTAATTAATATTTAATTTCACAACTGTACATATAAAATAATATATTAAACTGTAAAAGAAAGCTTTTTGGTAAAGATTTATATAAGAATGCCAAAACTTCCAAACAAAATTGTGCTTCTGGCACATCTGTAATTGCTTAATTTCCAAGTCTAGAAAACCACCTAGTGGTGAACATAAACAGTGAAAAATGCTAGATAAAATATATATATAAAAAAATGGGGAAATGTTGAGAGTTGTTTATGTCAAAACACACGCATACATATATTGTTTATTAGAAAAATAAAATAAAATTCTGAAATATTTGTCTGGAACTTCCAATAAGCAAAGTGGTATCTTAAAAATATTTGATAATTACATGAATGAAGGAAACATTATCTTTATGTTGTTCATTAACTTCTGATATGAAGTTTTCTTACTTACTTGGTGTTGATAAAAGTGTCCTTTTTATGACAATTATGCTGTATATTTATGTATGTTTTTGTTATTTAGTTATGATATATTTTGATCATTTCCAGTTACTGGTTGCATAATTAATAACTCCTAGTAATTCTTTGTAACAAAATGTACATAATGAAATATGGCTAATTTCTAGTGGAAAGAAATCTCCAGTTATTTTTACCAATTACTATTAATTACATATTTTTTTGTACTTTGATTTAAATAGATTTTTTACAAGCAAACGATGTATTTTTATCGAATCATTATATTCAGTCAGACTGTGAACAAAACTCCTGTAGCTTTTGTTCTCTTTCAGAAAATTGTAAAATTATAAAAATCTACTTTGTAAATCTAATGCCTACTCTTACACATGTTACTTTAAATGAGTGAGATTTTTTGAAAAAATCACCGTAGTAAATAACACGAAACTCGAAAGATAATAAAGTGATCCACCTCCATTTCTACTCTTTACTGCATGGCATGAATTGAACTAATGGTTAAAATAATCTTCTTTATTGAGAACTGGTTGTTGTTGGAGTAAAAGTGTTTATTTCTAATTCACAAATATCATGTTGTACTTTAATTTGTATTGATCCAGGAACACTTCTGCTATTATGGAGCCCCAAAGGTATGGACCTTACAAGCCTAGTGAGAAATTTGTGCTGCTACCAAGCCAAAGTTCAGCATTCTACCCCCTCTACAAAACTTACGTGTCTCCATCGACCTCGGACAGTGCTCTACAAAAGCTGACTTCTTCAACATTACCTTGACTGGACAGATGTTACAGTGAGCTTAAATACTCTTGTATTTCTTACTAGGGTTAGTCATTGAAACAACAGCTGCTATGTACTGTTTTTCAAGGTGTCCTCCAGTTTTGTGATTCGATGTGTATATTTGGCCACGTGGTGAATTCCTTTCTAATTCTTCAAGGCTGACCACTTGTTTTGGTACCTTGGTCACTTAATTGCTGTGATTTCTGTACAACCTGGTGAAGCAAGTTGCCAGCTTTCCTATGAAATTGTCGTCACAATTTTGAAAGACCTCTCTTCTCGGGATTTAATTTTTAGTGAAGACTGTTGTAGTTAACACAAGTTATGATTGGAGTAACCATGAAAATATATATACACTACAACATAGCAAATTTTATTTTCTATAAATGTTTTTGCCTGTATGCGTTACTACTGAAGTAAGTAATGGCCTAGATGATCTCAGCTTGGAGTGTCTTTACGTGATTTCACATTCAGAAACCATTGAATGGACGTTAAATTCCTTCTTCTTGTTACGTGAAGAAAGTGGAATTATATGTTGTTGGCTATATATTTTGGAACATGCAGTGTTGTTATTGAAGTAGTCATTGAAAACTAGTTAATGGTAGTAAACAAAAGGGCTTTTGTAGAAGACAAGTACACCTAAATATTCACCAAAAAATGTAAATTTTAATGGACTTTTAGGACTGTGCACAGAAAAGGGGGAAATAAGTGGTTCAGGTAGATTCAGTAGACTATGTGTTATGTTTAGTCATTTTATCATCTTTTAAAACTTCTTTGGTTTCTAACCCTTTCGAGTGTTTACGTGGGGAAAAAAATATTTACATTAAAAAAAATTATAAAAAAAGAAGCTATATAAGTGTATTTGCTCCAATGCACATGTATATCTAGAAAAAACTACATAATGTATATCTAATATCAGTGGTTAAATGTATGGTGAAATATTTGGTTATGTTTAAAACTTATGTTTACTTAGTGTATTTCTCACATACACATATTTGATATTAGGTGTTGTTTGGATTTTCCCTATACGTAAAGTCCTCGTTTATCTCAATGAGTTCACTTCATTCACATCTTTTATGTGATACCCAGTAGTGTTCAAAAATCCGTGAAGTTTTCTTGTGCAAATTACTCTTCAAAGAAAATGGTTGGTAGAGAAGTCGTCTCTTGAAGAATTGCTGTCCTTCATATGAAGGAGCAACTGAGAGTCGTAGTACATCTTAAGACACTTTACTAGTTAACTTATCTAAAGCTGATACGGAGAGAAATACAGGGTGGTCCAAAACTTGTTTGTCTTTTCTCAATCTGTGTTTCGTGCTTGTGTGTTATTCACAACTGCTCTTGCATTAGTCTGAAATGGATGAAAGTTTAAAAAAGAATTATTATACTGCTTTAGAGAAACTGTCTTTTGGATCACTCTGTACAATTGATAAGCAGAGCTGTAGTACGTGTTATTTTACATTTATATAGTGCAACAGTGTATAACATTAGAAGAAATATGTCTCTATTGTTTAATTTATTGAGTTGAATTCTCAGACTAATAATTGTCTATTGCTTACCTAAGGACTACATGTGATAGAAGAAAAAGCGCTTCTGATTTAGTGCTTCTTGACGAAAAAAAAAAACTGACTAAATCCACATCTCTGCTACTGTCATGACATGATGTCAGTGAAAGACATATAATATTAATATAACTGGTGGGCACATGTTGTTTTTGAACTGTATAAAAAGCCTTTTCATTCAAACAATATTTATTGAAATGTTTGTTGTGCAATCAAATGTTATTTTATTTTGTAGTTACACTGTAGGAATTTTCTGTGGTATTACTTGATACACTGAAGTGTATGTAAACTTTCTGATATTATATGGTCTTTATTGTTTTACTGTGTATGATATTAGACTGAGTTTATGGAGAAAAAACATTTATTTCAGTGTACACTAGGCTAAGAAATTCAGTGTTTGTGAAATACTTGCTCCTTTAGGTTTATCTCTAATGAGATCGTTTACCATCAGCAGTGCCAGTTTTTCTAAAATAGATTTTTTTTAAGATGCATGTGAAACTGAATACCTTCCCAAGGAACTAAGGATGGAACATATTCACTTAGATATTTTTATGAGCTTTCTACCACTCTTGTAACAATGAGCTTCTTAAACTTATATGTACAGTACAAACAGTGAGTTGGTGTATAAGCAATAAATGTATGAGCACCGAATGCCAGTTTAAGTGACAAGCTGCGACTGTGAGTCAGTGTGGATTATTGAGTAAGTATTTGAGCAGTGAGTTAGTGTAAAAGTGACACAGTACTTAGCAAAGTAAATGTCCAATTTAGGTGAGAATGGTGAAGATATCTTCAAGCAAGTTGTAGAATGTTATAGTTTTATCTTGGAGAGTTACATTTATCAACTTTTTAAGCAAAAATAAAAATATATTTTGTAGTTTAATGGTTTAGTATAAATTACTACGAGTTGTAGACTGTTTTCGTGCATTGTTCACGACAAAATTATTGTAGTATAAAATTGGTGTGTGAGATAATTAAGCATCTATTTCTAGGAACATTCCTAGAATGTCATTTCTCTTGACAATAAAACTTGGTGTACCAAAATGGCAGTGTAGAGAGAACTTATGTGTTTCCAGATTTTCTAATATGTGAAGTTCTAACTGAAATAAATTATTTGACATATTTGATAAGAGAGAAAATAATTTTAACTTCAGAAGAAAATTAGGACTTTATTAGTATGTTGACTTGCATCTTCATCAGGGTACAATGTGATGTAAAAACTTATATAAAACTAGGCTTAGATAAGACTAACACTATGTTTTACATTAGGCTCTGTTGTGCCAATGGTAAATACTGGCATTTTTAAGCTATATTATTAGATTAAGGGAAAAACAAAGATGTTAAATATAAATTAAAAGGAACTGAGTACAAGAACAACTTAAATACGTAAAGTTTTAATGCGGCTTAGTGAGAAATTGTGTGAAAGTCATCTCGAGGAACATCACGTAAGTTGAACAGTGTATGATATATGAGAGATTAAACTTCTTTGTTATTGTGCTTTCATAAATAAGAGAATTAATATAAAATAAAATTTGATGACACCTAAGAAAGTCAATAAACCGTATGAGAAGGTCAAATACTATATCCGTACAAGTTATACAAATTTTATGAAACTAGTCCAGGTCTCTGTTGGTGATAATAGTTTAAAGTGGCCAACCTTTTTTTTTTTAAGTTATTGCATTTGCAAGAAATTAGGTTTTTGAAGTAAGGTTATTCATGTTGTTGATACTGTGTTTTTGACAGTGTTCCATTACCGTATAACTTGTATTTAAGTTTTTAATGTTATGGATGTGTTTGTGTAAAGGGCATCCCCTTTCCCCAATGTAAGTTTGGAAACAAACACTGCATTCTAGTTCATATACTAGATTTTTCTGTAACAAAGGGTACCTAAATCGCATTTGGATACCATGCATTTTTTGTTATTAGAGAGTTTTGGAGGTTTAAGTGAGGATCTGAGTAAAACAAACATGAGGGACTTGTCTGGTTTCTCTGTAAGACAGATATGTGAGATAGATTTTGTACTTTCTAAAAGTCTCTGGGATACAGTCTGACTGGTGTAAGGAACAACTAAAATTAACTTTACTTTGTGTCTCTGGGATACAGTCTGACTGGTGTAAGGAACAACTAAAATTAACTTTGAACCAGAGTCTAAAGTACTGTTTAATGGAACTGTTAGTCATGGTGACTATTGGTGTGCAACATACTGTGTATTTTAAATCTGGCAGACTTGTTTGGTAAATTCAGAACGTCAAAGTTTTTCTATTATATGGAAGTAGCCAAACATCATACACTAGTTTAACTTGAGGTGAGTAATATTTTTGTTAAAAATACCTTTGATTAACTGGTTGTCTTTGGTACTGTAAAGAAAAGTGAGTTCCCAATTGCTGTAAGAATGTTCGAGAGTGAATGTAATACAAAGGTGAAGTAAATTTACAAAATATGAAAGCTTAGCTATTACTTTTAAATCCTTGTTCCTTACTGTAAAGATGTCACAAGTAAATCTGTATGAGGAAGGTTGATCAAGTTGACTTGTGGAACACAACTGATTTTGCTCAAGCTTGTGGAGAAAATCGACAGAAGAAAAAAATCTGTGATTCTGTTACCCATTAACCCCTTTTGTTTGTTTTTGGAGGTCAATGTCCAACTTGCAATAAGTGTTATGTAATATGAACATTAATTCTTGTTCAATCCTTGAAAGAGGAATATCCTAAAGGGGGCAGCAGCTAAAGTACACATACTGATGAGACTGATTAAGTTGTCAATACAGTTGTGTGACTTTAAAGACATAATAGAATTATTTCAGAATTTACCCTGTGAATGGTGTTCTCTGTAAGTTTCTCGATGCTTGTTGGGTGTGAAGGTGTTAGTTGCAAAAATGGATGAAGGATTTTTTAAAGAATCCATGAAAGTGTTGTCAGTGGATGAGCCATTTGTAGAGAGTGTGGGTCCTAAAGACATGTTGGGTTTGTGATTTTTTGGAACATCATAAAGAAACAGGTATATGAGTGTGCATAAGTTTTAAATGACTTATGAGAAGGGAAGGGATAATGTGAATTTTTAAAAAATTCATTTAACAAATTTAATATGGGATTCAAGCTGAAGTTTAGGGACTTCGTCCGGTTTCTAGCATTGTTCAAATGTTGTTCCATTTTATCTACATAAAACTATGAAACACTTACCCTCATCTGACACTTTTCCAATGACATCTTAATTTCCTTTAGAACAGTAATCTTCACAGATGAGATAATATGTTTACAGAAATGATTCTAGAATTTGTACAGTCCCACTTCTTAACAAATTGAAGATTCAGTACTCTTGAGTTTTTTGGACACACACACACACACACACACGTAAAACAGTTATTGATTTGCAACTGAAAATAACTTGTAATTATTACAAATTAAGCTTTCTGTAAGTTATTTAGGGCTAATATTTAGTGTGGTCCCCTTTTGTATTAGCG